CCCGTTCCTCTCTGGTCAAATTAAAATAAATAAATAAATAAATAAATAAATAAATAAATAGCACATTAAAAAAGAAAAGAGATCTTCGTTAACATAAATAAAAGTTAAAACTCTTATGAAATAGAAGCTAAAAAACCCCCAAACCTGGTGAATGAACATGTTCCTCAATCTGCCCTATTTCTGTTCTCTACAGTTGTCACCACATTACAGCTGACTCCGTGAAGCACGTAACCAGACTCCCTGTAATCCCATCCCTGCGGTCTAAACCAGCCCCCACACAAAGCTGCAGCATGCATCGGTGAGTTAATGCCGCTGCTGCGCTCCTAGAACCCCTAACCGTGAGCCCAGCCTGTGCGGACCAGGCCTGCCCCGCTGTGTCGCTGCCTCCGCAGCCTCAGGTCCAGCTGTCAGGCCTTCAGGGTGATGTGCCTTCACTGCAGTCCAGGCACCTCTGCCCACTCTGAGGTGGGTATTTCAAGATGCATGAAAGCAGGAACTCCATGGGCCTGGGTACTTACTATAGGAGATTCTCTTTGAGATCTAAGAAAAATAATTCTCTACACTTACAAATTTGAACTGTGATAAGAAAAACAAGTCACATTCACCACAAAATCAGGAGTCTGCCCGCTGGTGAGCCCAACTGTTAAACACTGAAAACTTGTGTAGTTTTCATCATTAAAACCCTCAAATATCTTAAGAGCAGGAACATTAAATTTAGAATAGGGCTGCCGAAGAGCTGCCTTTCGCAAGCCCCCAGAGCCCTGGGCAATCCTGCCCCCCACGCGCACTGCTCAGTCCCATCCTCTCAGGGGAGTAAGGGAGCAGGCGGTGAGGGCAGGAGAGGGCAGAGTGAGGTTGGCCCCACTCTTCTCAGCGCCCGGTGCCAACGGAACACGGCCTTCTGTGGCTGTTCTCCGAGCTGCACTATGGCTCTGTGCATTTTCTGCATGTGTGCTGTGCTTGAACCGAGTTGCTCTTCCCCTTGCAAGAAACACAAGCTGCATCTTGCAACTCACTGCTGCACTTGGTGGCTGCAGCTGGCACTGGTGAAGCTGACGATCATCTGCAGCTTCTCGGTCGCATAGTTCACAAACTGCTGCTTAAAGGCCCTCTCCTTGGCCCGGGTGGTCCAGGTCAGCCTTTCATAAAGGTACAAAGCTCCGTACATACTCAACGAGGCAGATATGAGCTTCCAGCCGACGGCTTTCCAAATCTGTAAGATGAAGCCACAGCTTACTCAGAAGAAAAATCACCATGGGGGGATTAATAAAGTTTGATGATCAAGTAACTGTGTACTTAGATAACTCCCAGGTGATTTCTTCTAGGTCTGAGTATCTTCATTAGAGAAAAGATGCCCCTTGATGTAAATAAATTAAAATGATCACGTAATGACCCAGCAGGTGGGGTGGTGGTGAAGGTGCTAGACGTGCACATGGCCAACCGTGGTTCGAACCCCAGGCCGGGCCTAATGAAGATCACACCATGTGCATGTTGTGTACCTGCCCAAAACCCCAGGAGCAGATGCAGAAGGGACTGCAGAGGCCACTGCCACCCACCCCAGGGGGTTCTCACTCTCCCTCTCACTGTCTCTCTCGGAGGAGCACATGCGCCCTGTGGCGAAACCTTGGGGAAAAGAAAAAGAAAAAACGTATTATATAATGCAGGAGCTCAAAAAGCAAATTTTGTGAATGAGTAAGTTCCTCAAATCCATGGTCTCTGTGTGAATACATATATATTTTTTTGGGGGGGGAGAGATTTTTGCTATAGGGCGCGTGCACTCACCAAAAAGAGAGATACTAGAGACAGCGAGAAATCACCCGCCAGGGGGAACGGCCACACCGCGATCCCTTCTCCTCCACTCTCCTCTCGGGAGAATTACACTAACTGCTGGTTCCAGTCTCTTTGTATAGTAAAAAGCATTTTCGGGACCAGCACTTGGAGTAATGGCTATGTGGCTGGACTCCCATGTAGTCAACCACGGTTTGAATCCTGGACCCAGCGGCTTAAACTCCCACCAGGGGGGTGTGCCTGCGTGCCCAAGATCCTGAGAGGAGAATGGAGGAAAAGGGACTGTGGTGTGGCCATCCCCCTGGGGGGTGATTTCTTGCTTTCTGTCTCTCTGTCTCTTTGGCGAACGCCCTATAACAAAAACCTCTCCCCCAAAAAAAGGCATTTTAGGGGCTAGCAGGTGGTGTGGGAGTTAAAGGCGCTGGGCTCCCGCATGGCCGAATACAGTTTGAGATCCAGACTTGGTGGCTTGAAAATCAAGCCAGGCACATACGTGTGTGCCCAAAACCCCAAGGAGAGAATGAAGAGACGGGTCTGTGGAGCCTGGTCCCTCACTTTCTCCTTTTCTCCATGCTGAGTGCGAGCATCCTAAGGCAAAAACCTTAAAGGGGGGGGGGACATTTTAGCTCCCTGCAGAGCCAGATCCATTTTCTAACAACATACATTCTTTCTCATGAGAAAAACCCAAAATTACAGGAAAGCAATCAGGCCACAGAAGGGCTAATCAGCACCTAAACTAGTACAGAACTTTAACCTACCAGACATGGTAAGTTAATGTGATGCGTGTCTAAAAAGCAGTATTAATTCTTTTCCAGGTCAGAGGTTTCAAAAAGCAAAGCAAGTACACATTTATGCTTTTAATGATATAAAGGATTATAGCTAAAAAAAAAAAATCTTTAGTGCTTCAAGACCGACCCCCTTGGCATGAGCGGAGTGAGACGGGTGCCTGTCTTTGCTGTTATAACCTGCAGAGCTCCCCCACTCCTGGGGAGAGCACTGCTCTGAGGACCCGCTAGTGGCTGGTGTTCTACCTGAAAGCCATTTACCATTTTTGAGTCCTGGACCTGGCAGCTTGCTTTCTCACTCCCCACCCCGCCTTCTTACTCTGGTCAAATTAAAATAAAGTTAAATAAAATAATTCTTAAGAAAAACTACTTATACTGGAAGTACTGTTTCTTACCACTCCTCCAACAATGATGACACCCATGGACGTTCGCGACGTGAGAGAGGCCAGTGCTGTGACTACGGTGACCATGAGCTCTTCCTGGGACGCGCGGTCAGGGGCTGCCGGACGGGGGGGAGCCGTGGGGGTAGAAGCTAAAGACCTAGGGAGCTGACAAATTGGGAGAGAAAGAGTGCTCCGTTTAAGGGCCGCAGCTGAAACCTTACGTTCCTAAACTCTTCGTATTTCTTTAAAAATTATTAACAGTTGGGGTCCAACAGGTGGCATGGTGGTTGAGGTGCTGGACACTCTCACATGGCCAACCACGGTTCAAGTCCAGGACCTGGGGGCTTGCTTTCTCATGTCCCCCCTCCTGCTCTGTGTCTCTCGCTGGTCAGATTAAAATGAATGAACAAATAAATCAAATTAAATAATTATTTTTTTAAAAAAAGAATTAATTTTATTTATTCACTCACTTTTTTTATAAATTTGAGAAGAGAGGGTGAGAAAGCAAGCTGCCAGATCTGGAACTCGAACTGTAGTTGGCCCTGTGGGAGTCCAGTGCCCTTAACCACTACACCACCTGCCAACCCCAAAAAAATAATTAAAAAAAAAAAAATTATGACAGTAAACATATGAGGGAAAAAATGACCCCAAAAATGAGTATACCACAAATATATGGGGCAAGTCAAAATAGTCTGAAGAGTATTCTCTATGACATGGCCCATGGCAGGGTGCACACTAACACGTTTCCGTAATGTATAATGGAGACCACTTGTAGCAAAAGGCTCTCAACTCTCAAGGAACTGAAATTGCATCAAGAAACAAAACAAAACAAAACTCACATCAAATAAGCACAATCCTTAAAAAAGTAGAGAGAGAGAGCCTGCAGGTGGTATGGTGGTTAAGACACTGAATCCCACGTGGTCAATTCCGCAGTTTGAGTCCCGGACCCGGCAGCCTGAAAAAACACCAGGCATGTGTCTGTGCATGCTCCAAATCCCAAGAGGAGAATGAAGGAGAAGGGAATGCAGCATGGCTATCCCCCTGGGAGGGATAGTGCATGCCATATGGAAAAAAAGAAAACAAAAATCTACCAAAAAAACTTGGACTTGGGAACCAGCAGTTAGTGTAATGGCTATGTCGCTGGACTCCCATGTAGTCAACCGCGGTTCGTGTCCCCAACCGGTGGCTTAAAACTCATGCCGGGCGTGTGTGCGTGCGTGCCCAAGATCCCAAGAGGAGAATGGAGGAGCAGGG